TTGCATTGCCATGGTCATCTGGGAGGAGGTTCACGTCTAGTGATTTCCCCAGGAACCATTCACGGCCACCAGCTACCACCCGTCCAGTCTTGGGCGTATCCAGCAAGACATCCTTCAGTTTGCTCGCAATCTCCGACACTGACGAGAGACCAGCAAACGAGCACTTTTGCAAGCCTCAAACTCGCTGATTCATGGCAATTTCGGCCATGGAATCACCACCAAAACTCGCAACGGACACATTATCAGTACTTTCCCCTGCTAATTTACCACCCGGACCGTGTTCAAACACGCCCACGGTGACGAGACTCTCGATAGAACTACACGCCGAAAGCGTGACATCCGAACACGGTAAACCGGCCTCCCGGTAGGCAATGCAAATCACAAGCACACTTATACAAAAAACACACCCGTGAAAAGAAACGGATCCAATAAACGTCATTCTCGCGAAAGCAAACCCGCCGTCTTCGAACGAAAAAAGGAACTCGATGAGTAATTTTGTTATACGGAATTTACACTGAAAATCAACCGGGAATGCACTATTTTCACACCAACCAACTGCGAAACACGTTCAGAAGCACTTTTGATACACTTTCGGTATCAATTTCTGTCGAAAACACTTAATTTTTTGCAATAATAGTAGCGGGCGAACCAACACTGACCGTGCCGAGTTTTTTCACACACCTTCTTTCCTATTGACATCAAGAAGATTAGACGAACTATTTTCATGCAACCGGTGAAATAAAGATGAATATTATATTCAATGTAGGTAACTACACCAACTGATAAAACAAAGGTTGCTCTATCAGGCAGTGTATTAAGTTTGCATGAGTGTGCAAGCATATGTTGCTTAGGCCGGGCCAGAAAATATTCCATAAGATAATTATTTTTTAAGCATCCAGAAAACAAATGCTGATTTTTTTTAAATCGAAAGTGAGGGCGATTAGCAATTTACCTTCTAAATTTTATTTTAGATTTTTTTTTAATAAACATTTTTTAGTGAATAAACTTTTATAAAGCCCACCTAATCATGTTTTGTTGTTTTTGACATCATCCACATCCAGAGGGTCAGTCATTTTCGAATGTATGGGAATGGTAGGAAACCATTTGGAAATGCATGAAAATTTTCAGTTTTTATTTATTACCGTCTTTATGGGCAGTTTTAGATGCTCAAAAATTGCACGAGTACATTACTATGGTGATAAGGTAAACACTCGTTTATTTGTTTCCTTCTTTGAAAGCATGTTTAGTCACAAATCGAGGATTTTCTGATATTCTCCATACTGCAAAAATGATTTTCCTACCACTGAAGGGGCGACATCTCTCGCTACTACTCAAATCATATAATTAATTGATTCTCTACAACTTCTTCTCAGGCACAAATTCGTTACAATTAACGGATTTCGAGTTACGATTTTTTTAAAACTACATACGTAAAAACACATACGCCCTTTTAAAAAAATTAGTCTTTAACATAAAGGATCTCTGACCTGTGTCTCCCATACAGAAGACATGTGAAAGGTTTCATTCAAACCTTAGAATTGTTCAGCTGATTTGGCTTATTCACGCAAATTCAAAGGCAAACGACCAAGGAGGTGGCACCTTTATCTCTACTAATAACAAGTAGCCATAGCGAGCATTCGCGGGCCCACGCTTAGATTGATACGTGATAACGATTTTATGCTGGCTACGAAAAGAAGGCGGTGTGTCAGGCCCTTGCAAACGATTTGCTTTTCTAGCTTCCATAAACTATTTTTATGCTAGCTACAAAATATTCGAATGGATCAGTGGTAATGTTTAAAAAGTCATAAATTGACGACAACCCCGCAATAAAACCTAAGTTGAAAAACTCAGTTGAGATTTCAACCGCCCAAGGTGATTTCTTTAATCTTCACACAATTCGGTTCGATTGCTCTAAATAATTAACTTGTACAGAAAATATCATAATAAGTTAGTGTACATTAGACCTGTTCATTTTAAACGAAATGTTCGGAATGTAACGGGTCAACCGTGATTACTGTTCGTCATGTTAATTTGAACTTTTGTGCAAATTTTCAGCAAAATCGGTGTTGATTTAGAGGTGCTTCTAGTTAATTTTATGTTTTCAAGGTAATTTACGGCTTATAATATTTGTATCTCGAGACTGAAACAACGAAAGCCGCTGTAACAACTTTCATAGCAAAGCTTAATGTGTCATGTATCAACTTTGTAACCAAAGGTTGACTATTCGAAGTGATTTTATTGAATTTTCACTTAGTTTCATGCTCGAAGATATCTTAAAATGTGAAGAATTTTAAAGTATTTGTTCTACGAATTTTCCACCCATATGATATAAAAATGTGTAGTGTACGGCATAATGTTCCTCATATTGTTCTAGAAGTTTCGTTCCAACATAGTTTTCGTGTATATTTCATAGATTGAGAGATAAAAATCAGAAAAGAGGCCGTTTAGCTAAAATTCACAAGACAACAGAACCAATAAAAGTCAATTAGATTGACAGAACATAGTTGCATTGCTTTTCAATGACGACCGATGACTGTTTCATTGATATATGATTTTTTCATAAATATGAATCCTCAGTAGACGTGTTTTTTTTATCAAAGGCAAGTGTCACTCGAACCATAACAGCAATTTATAAAATAAAAAAAAAAACACGTCTACTGAGGATTCATATTTATGAAAAAATCATATATCAATGACAGTCATCGGTCGTCATTGAAAAGCAATGCAACTATGTTCTGTCAATCTAATTGACTTTTATTGGTTCTGTTGTCTTGTGAATTTTAGCTAAACGGCCTCTTTTCTGATTTTTATCTCTCAATCTATGAAATATACACGAAAACTATGTTGGAACGAAACTTCTAGAACAATATGAGGAACATTATGCCGTACACTACACATTTTTATATCATATGGGTGGAAAATTCGTAGAACAAATACTTTAAAATTCTTCACATTTTAAGATATCTTCGAGCATGAAACTAAGTGAAAATTCAATAAAATCACTTCGAATAGTCAACCTTTGGTTACAAAGTTGATACATGACACATTAAGCTTTGCTATGAAAGTTGTTACAGCAGCTTTCGTTGTTTCAGTCTCGAGATACAAATATTATAAGCCGTAAATTACCTTGAAAACATAAAATTAACTAGAAGCACCTCTAAATCAACACCGATTTTGCTGAAAATTTGCACAAAATTTCAAATTAACATGACGAACAGTAATCACGGTTGACCCGTTACATTCCGAACATTTCGTTTAAAATGAACAGGTCTAGTGTACATAGTCTATGTCGCTACGGATTCGGTAGTGAACCAAATCCGTTTTATGACTTAGCTTTAATAAGTAATGAAAAGGTGCACCAAAAGAAAAAAAAAGGTTATAAAGCCAAGTTATTCGACCGCAAGTGCTTCGAGTTATATCATTCGATGTTGTTAAAGATTTATGAATGTACCATAAATCTCGTTATAACAAATTGCTCTTCACCTTACTCTACAATAAATATAAATAAACTGTCAAACAGTATTGATGCTCATGTAACTCTACATTTCATCGCACGGTGTATGGAATCAAAAAACTTCGTATGAGCAAAATCTTCTGCACAGTATTGTGATCCAATTCATGCAAAAAAAAAAAAAAAAACAAAACAAGTATGCCACCACAGTTAGAACTTTCGCTTTCCAATAACCGTTGACTGTGGCTAGAAAATTAGCTTAAACCCACTACTACCTTGTAAACGTTTTTGTTTGCAATAAATGAATCTAGCTAGGTAAGACACTCACACCCCAAACCAGAGAAGACACAAAACGCGTGTCTGCCCTTAGTAAAACACACAAAATCACTGAGCTGGAACTAAAATATGCGCCTTTCTTGGACTCCCTTAGTCCCCCTCCCCCATCTCACTCACGCGAGCAAGTTCGATGTAATCAGGTGGCGGTCTTTAGCTACCTCTGACGCATCACATTAGCATCGAGTGTGGAGACCCTAGGACGGATAGGGTGGTGGTGGTGGTAGAGATGTTTCGTTTATCTTTTCCTTCAGCTCAAAGAACCAACAAATGTGTCATGCGTTCTAATTTTTCAGCTAGAACCACCAATTTTCTAACCTGCCAAACCGTGTACACCGTACACCCTAACACCACACAGCAACCATGAAGTTGTCGGCAGCAATTTTACGCTGATTTCCAGTTGTCTTACCGAAAAGCTCCCTATCTGTGTAACGGTTAGAGGTGACGACACGACACAGTAGCACAGAGAGACAGAGAGGGTGGGTGGTCAGTCTGTGAACCACTTCTGTTATGTAAGCTCCAATAGAACGATATCGGTACGGTGTATTGTTACTTGGTTTGCGCTGCGGGTTACCTATGCTTCAAGAGGGATGCTGCATCAAACGTGATGAATGGAGGATGCTCGGCTAAAGGCTGTCCAACAGGGTACAACAACAATGACGAGGAAGCGGGTTAAATGATCGATTTGTCTCGTTGTTGGTTGGATAGATAAGATTCTTGTCCCTAACGGTGGAGGTTTGTACAAAAGAGTTTTCAAACGGTTCTTGCAAGTGTGCTATTAAGCTTTTAGTTGCATGGAATTTCTAGTAGTCAGTTTCCCGGTTGCGCTTATTTCCAAAGGCCTTGAGTTGCATACTACAGCTAAGCGTATTAATCATCGAAACCTGATCTTTCATAATTGGTATTTGCAATGTCTCAATTTCCACCAAAAGTAACCATTTGTCCAAATGCCCATATCACCTGCTGACACAGTGACCGTAATCGGTGTGTGAACAAAAGTTAAATGGGCTTGCCCGGTATCAAGCGTAGGTCGTTTCGATTTCATCTTCCGCTGCGCTTTGCAACCATAAAATTGAGTGTGAAAAATATGCAAATCACTGCCAGTCGGTATGTCGCACATAATTCGATAATAGAGACACGATGCACGCCATATCTTTTGGCGGTTGAGTTATCTGCAAAAAAAGAACTGATTGCAGCCGATTTGCTTGGCACTTACCGGTTCGCTGCCCTCGTGGGAGAGAGATTCGCGCGAGCTGTTCACGTTGTCAATGGGCTGGGTGACGACGATGCTTTTCTGCAAGAGATACGATATTCAGTCCGGTCAGCGGTGTCAGGATAAAAGTGTCACGTAAACTGTGTTGTTCATACCTTGCCTGAGCTGCCTCGCTTTCGTTGGATTTTGGGCGCCACCGTCGATGAGATGGAACCGCGACTGGCGGTTGTGAGGGCGGCTGCCGTTGCCGTCACTGATGTAAGTGCATGTGTGCTATAATAGCTACTGCCGTTGCTGATGCTGTTTTGGAAACTCACAGGAACTGGCGTGGTCGCACTTGAACTGTCCGCCGATTGCGTGAAGACGATTGTCTGCAATAATTGGAAAACAAACAAAGTAGTACGTTAACTGAACTGCTTGGGTACATGTGCTGACCGAATAATTTCTGACCATTGTTTTGACACGTGCAACGTGAACTTTTATGGATGTATTCTTGGGGTAAAATTTGGCACACGTTGTGCAATTGAACCTATAAAGCGTGCAGGTCGTTTGAGATAACCCCAAAAAGCGGTAGCAAATAATCGCACCGTTTTTACACAAGTTCTGGTAATGGTCTAGACAGTATCTGTGAAACAATAGAGCTTCAGAACTACCGTGTGGGTAACTAGGGTGTGATGGTAATTCAGACGGGTGATCATTTTGATGGCTTTACATGTGCGGTAAGGTTTTTCGATAGTTTTGATGTAATGGGGTGACGAGAGCGGCTTAGCTCGGAAATTATGAGAAACAGTCCCCGTTATGTATGCGGTAGTGATCAGTGTGTCCGCCTTTTTTGCAATCTTTATAGAATGACTTATCGGAACATTCTTCTTTTTTTGCAATTAACTTGTAGGTTAGAGTAGATAATATCCAAAATATTTGTGATTTAACCCTAGACCCTATGTTAGATAAAAAGCCACAAAACTAAGCCTATTATAATGCATGATTTGAACATTTGATCTCATTTTCTGACAAAAAGATATATAGAGGCCTCTTAGCAAATCCTTCACTAATTACACTAATTAAAAAAAATGTAGTGATAAGCGGGTTCCGGCGATTTAATAAGTGCTAAAACAAAAACCTCAAAAATAGCAAAAAACTGTTATTTATTGGCCAATTTTCAATTTTTGAGTGTTCATTTTGATTTTTTTGAATAGCATTGAGTTGATTAGATTTTGAAATGGAAATTATTCAATTATTTATTGAAGATTCAAGATTTTGTTTTTGTTGAACCATGTTTTCAATTCTCACTTTTGAGTTTTCCTTTGCAATTTTTCAATTGATGCTTTATTGCAGTTTAACCGGGGAGTAAAAAAAATATATTGCAACTTTTTAATTTTCAGTTGCAAATTTCCACTAGCTTTTTGCTTACGTATGCGGATCCAGATCTTTGAGGATGGGAGGGAGGGGGTTGGGGCTATAACAAATAAAAGTGCAATTGGCTCTCTGAGGATGAGGGCACACTTAAAAAAAATGTTTACCATAATTTAAGCTTATGAAACCTAAAGGGCGCACTTTAAAAATTAATATTTCTGATCATGTTCAAACTAAACTGATAATAAATAAAAATGTCGTATAGCTTGAGGAACCACATTCTGTGTGTTTTACTCACAGTGTTTTTAGATTCCTTAATGTTTCAATTCCAGCTTTTTGAGAATTCATCAAGTTTATCCAGTTTTTCATTAATAATAGCAATTTTTTTGAAGTATGATTACCGTTCCAGAATGATTGAGATGTTTAAAATTTAAACTTTTATTTTGGAAAAGAAATCTTGAAATGTTATGTTTATTAACAGTCATAATACCTGCAAAATGCATGGCGATGCACGTGATATTTCATAATTGCTATTTTAAATGTCTCAATTTCCACTCTACTGTGCAGCATTTAAGGGGAAAGATGATTCAAAATCATCGGGCCTGTTTAAATCAAAAATTCAAACACGATGCTTCAGAATCCAATAAATGGATGCAGTGACGTCGCCTTAACCTCAATCTACCTGTGCACCAACTCTCAAAACATAAGCAATTATCAAAATATTGCTTGCAATGGATAGATATCGAGTTAACTAGAAGATTAAGTGTGTTTTTCAACCGATTCGAGTATGAATATGGCATTAAATCTGTTTTTGAAAATGGTGCACAGGTAAAAAGTGAGGTTACGCGACGCCACTGAATGGATGAAACGTGGAAATCTCGTACCGTACGATCCGTTGTATTGTTATCTATAAATGGTTGGTCGTTGGGAGCATCTAATCTAAAAATGTTAAATGATGCTCCATTTTCCTCGAGTGATTGGGACATGAGCACTAACTCTTGTGAAGGAACCCTAGTTCTATCTTTCCTTGTGTAAAAACTGAAAACACGGGTCTCTAATCAATCTACAGGAAAAGTTTGCTAAAACTCACAATGACTCGTGAACTTTTCCTTTTGCGTGCTTCATAAAACCTCGCAAAATTTTCCAACGCTACACACGAACAGGTGAGAGCTATATTTCAGTAGAGAGTAATAGAACGAAAAAATATTATAAATTTATGAACATATAAATGAAAATAAAGGGAAGATCTCAGCCAGTTTAATTTATTTTGTACTCTTACTGTCCTGCTGCAATACTGTTGAACCAAAGGTACTTTTTCAGGTTATTGCCAAACTAGTTAAAAAATTCTGCAGGCAAATCAGGATCACAAAAAAGGAACTTTCAAGTACAAAACATCAAACGTCTAAAACCAGAAAAAGCACTACTGTGTTACCTGACTTATAACGAATATACTAGGGGCATCCCACTCTAAACTTCATACCTAATATCAATAAAATATTTGTAAATCTCGCGTAAGTATTCCTAGGTATATTTAAGTATTTTAAACCATGGTTATAAATTTCCATCGAAGTAACACTTATTTTTTGATGACCGGTTGCTAGTGTATGTGTTTGTTGTTGACTTGTTGTTTTCGGTCGTCTTGTATTTATACAAATAGGAGTGTTAAGGTGTTTCCTCGTAGAGTCCGTTTTTCCATCACACCTCGCAATTTCAAGAGCACACATCTCAAGATCTACGAGGTGTATACATCTGAAAATTTCAGACATTCCTTGCTTCTCCGCAGCAAACAACAAGTAGTAGTTTCAGCTACGTGCATTCACAGAAACCTTATTATTTTTATATGTGAAATTGCGAAGTGTAACACGGAAAAGGTCGCTACAGGGAATCACCTTAAGTACTTTCATTATGAGTATAAATTAGCAATATTTAAGTTATATTTTTCAGCGATTCAGCTTGTAAAAATAGTTCAAGGGCTGGTTACAAATAATGATGTTTTCAGTACAAGTTTAACGGTATTTACCGATCGACTGAACTCAAAGTGTGTATTGGCTCACATATACCCTCTCGGTGCACAAAGATGATGAGTATTGGTATATTCAGATATATGCGTGCATTAGCTGACCGGAGCAAAATTTGCTAGGCATGAGAGAGACAACTAGCACTTTTCTCTCTCTCTCTCTCCCTCTCGTACCTTCGCAAAATCTCGCCTTGCGCGTGAAACATCGCTCAGGGCGGAGTTCACCTTATTTCTACACACAAAGAACAAATATTGTTGCTATAAAAATAATGCAATTTTAAACTAAAAGTTTTCCAAATTGTGTAGTTTTAACATTAAAATATTCAAAACGAAAGTTATTTTTTTGGATTTAAAAGTGTTTCTTTTACTTTTCGACTCGTAATTTTAAAAGTGGTTTTTTGAAATAAAAGTTGTTGAACTGTCAAAAATACCTCTTCATTGCGATGTTTTTGGCAGCACTGGACTTCGGTTTGGCGCTAAATTTGATGAGCGACACAAAACAAGGCGAAGCAGCTTCCAATTGAATGGAAATGGAGTTTACACTTTACTCACTTTGCTTCCACCCCAGCTTCCACCGGATTTACCAGGCAGAAAATCATTAAGGTGAGAATTTTTGAGAATGATCGCATATATAGTTTTCATTAATTTTAATTTTGCAAAACCGGAACCGGAAAGCTAACCGGGATGCAGATTATCGCTTTCAGCTCTAGACATTCTTGAAGATGTTTTGCAGGGCCAATGTTGGACTTCATCATAGTTCAGAGCATCAGATTTGGACAAACTTGACTCAACGGATTAAATTCATCTAGTATCCAGGTAATTATGCATTACATTATCCAGAACATTAACTCAAGAGTTGTTTAAACTTGTTTGTAATTTTCAGTGGAACGGAACTCATTCTTACAAATGACCCAATCTAACGCTCTGGTTCGATCTCTCAATATGGAAAATCAACCCATGACCGATACGGCATCATCGGCTGAATATTTTCGATTTACGGCTGTTCCGCCGATTCGAATGATTCCACCACAAATTTCTTTACAACACCCTAAAGATGCGTGTTTTGTTCCCCTTGTGTGTTTTCATTAATATGGAGGATTTATCATATACGTGATCAACGTAGTGCAGCAACGACATCAGCATGTGTTGTTCAAGCGAGTCTTCAACTCTGTGATAGGAATTCTGCAGTAATCATATATTTGCCTCAGTTTTTCAACAACAAATAGCGCATCAAATAAAATAGTTCTCCATTTGCCAAATCAGTGACTGATGTCCTGAAGGAAGCCACCCACCACCACGACGTCTTTGAAAACCGGGTAGTCATAATGATTTATTGTTATTGTTATTTGTGTCAAGTGATAACAATATGTCTGGATTTATGAATTAACCAAATAAAAACACATATTAGAATTTAAAATGTAAAGCGACGTGATTAAATTGAAAATAATGGTTTTTTTTAACTGAAAATATTTAGTTTTACGATTGAAAATACCACATGTCATTTTAAAAGTTTGATTTGAATTAAAAAAAAATATATTTTTCTTTCAACACTGTCTGGCTTTTCATTTGACAGTAGTACAATTTGTTTTGAAAGTTTAAACTTTTAAAATTAATAGCCGGAATTTTTTTGAATTGACAGTTGTTTGACTTTCGTTTTGAAAGCTAACTGCTTTCTTCCAAAATGAACCAATGCAAACTTTTAATTATAACAATGGTTTTTTTTTTTAATTTTAGCAACGATTTTTATTTGTGTGTAAACAGGTTAATTACCTAGCAGTGAATCATCTGACTACGATTTTGTTTTTGCAGTATCGAGGATCTGAAGCCGTGAAAACGTGTTGCAGGCCTGAACAAATGCAGGAAGAAAAGTTTGTCGATCTACCGGGTGTTGAATGGAAATGATCGTGATTCGTTTCTGACCGGAAGGCATTTGCAATGTAAAATTAGACGAACTATACGTTGAATTCGGGGTACTCGTATACAACGTATATTCGTTATAAG